TCAATATCAAAATTCCCAGAAGTTTCTCTTCCCCTTGTGTAGACCAATCAGGGATGAAGTAGTAAGACTCCAGTAAGCACAGTAGAATAGGATATACTTTCTCTCTTCCATCCGTTCACTGTCTGTGTTCTTCAATGTGTGGAAGCAAAGGACAGCTCTGTATCTACCCTCAACACACACTTTCATTCTGAAATAGCAAGGTATTCCATCACCAATGCTGCTTAATTATGTTACCTGTCCTACGTATCTTCTGACTCACACCCTCTCCCCACCCTGACTCTAACCTCATGCATTAGTTCAAGATTAATTACTTTTGCACTTCATATGAGGTCACCATTATATAATTGGTGTGGGATTTAAGCAGAAGAAATGGTCATGGTGTATGAGAGAATATGTTTCCTGTGGGACCAGGACCAACCTAGGTTCTGAGGCTCATGAAAACCAGGACTTAGGATCACACAGAAGAGTAATTTAATTGCCTCTAGAGGTTCTCTGTGAGAAGCATATTACAACAACTCTATGAATATGTTCCATTTTGTCTTTTTTACTCACTAATGTGCTACAACACTACTAATTCAAGTATTGAAAATTATATTCAGGACATAGTTTGAGCCATAAATGTTATTTTGTGCTATTTTTCCTTACACCTGATATTTAATTTTGTCTTTTCAACACTCATATCTATGAAAATATCATTTGTGTAAAATAAGGGTATGTAGGAAAACCTCAATTAATGTGAAATGTCCCTGAAGATCCTCATTGTTTTATTGCACTTAAGAGATATTTCACTTTATACAAATTGAAATATTGCAGAAGCCCTGCATTTAACAAGTATATCAGCACCATTTTTCCAACAGTATTTATTCACTTATTGACTCTGTGTCACATTTTAGTAATTCTCACAATATTTAATTTTTTTTCATTATGTTACTGCACACTTAATAGCTCATAATATAGTCAAAACCTGATTTTTACATACACTGGTAAACAAAAAAAAAAAAATCCATGTGACCATATTTATTGAAGTTGTGTGGAACTGAACCCACAAAATCTCCAAACTAAGCATACACACACACACACACACACACATGTGTTTATATATGTTTGATATATTTTATTTTTATTTAATTTTACTTTTACTGTTGTTAAGGGTATGCACAACAAACCATATACCAAGTCAATTCTACACATACAATTCAGTGACGATGATGGCATTTAGCAATTTAAGCAACAATTCTCAAAATTTTCTGAATTTCTTCCCCCAATAATACAAATTTTGTCACCCCTAAGTTTCCTGTCTGAGTGTTTAACTTGCAGTTATTAATTGATCCCATAAAGATAATTCTTCAAAAGGAGTATGTTGTTCAGGGCAAACATTTGTTAGTATATAAACAAATTTACTGTTAGTTTTAAATAAAACTTCAGGGGATATATTATTTATTTTTTTAAGGTTTAAAGATTGTCTCAGGACAACAATTACTGGGGCTCATCTTTCCTTCTCAAGGACTCCAGAAAATCTAGAGTGCATGAGAATATGAATTTCTGTTCTTCATTTTCTCCCTTTGTATCAGGATTCTTTTATAGATTCCTTGATCAAAATGTTCAGTTATAGTATTCAGTTCCCATCCAATTCTTCTGGTCTCATTCATAAATTAGATATTCATGCATGGAAGTATTAAGTACACATTACATCACCTGCTATATTCCTAATGCTCCCTTTTCTTTCTGCTTCTCTACGAGATTAGAAAATAATTGTTATAACATAGATAGCCACTTGCAAGCTTTTAATGCTCTAGGCACTTGCCTTTTTATTGCATTATAGAATTATGTATTACTCTTTTTATAAAAAGAGCTCTGGTGACATAGTGCCTAAAGCATTTGACTGCTAACCAGAAGGTTGGTCATTCAAACCCACCAGCCACTCCACAGAAGGAAGAATGGGCAATCTACTTCCATAAAGATTTATCAACTGGGAAACCCAAAGGGGGTTGCTAAAAGTTGGAATTTACTTGATGACAATGAGTTTTAGTTTTTTTCAGTATATTATGTACATACTTTTATATATTTACTAATTATACATCATAAATGCATAAAAATGTGGTAACACTGTACCTTGTCAAAGTCAGGAAACTTGTGAGATGTGAATTGAAATGTAGCTCTCACAATTTTCAATGTATATCTAAATTAGACCAACTGCCATTGAGTTGATGCTTACTCATGTGGACTCTGTGTATAATAGTATAACTATGACCCATAGGAATTTTAATGGCTGAGTTCT